GGCTCCAGTCTTGAGTAAAAGGTGAGGAATTATCAAACGGGAGCGGCGAGGGAGGACGGAAGGGGAAGGGAGGGGGGAGGAGGGAGGAGAAGGCAGGAGGAGGGAGGAGTCAAGGGGGACGAGAAGGGAAAGGAGGGGGGAGGAGGAGGTGGGAAGAAAGAGGGACGGGAGAGGGAGGAGGGAGGAGGGACAAGAGGAGGGGTGGCGGGAGGAAGAGGGAGGAAGAGAGAGAGGGGGGGAAGGAGCGAGGAGGAGGAGGAGAAGTAAAAAGAGGAGGAAGAGAAGGGAAAGGAGGAGGTGGAGGAGGAGGAGGAGGGAGGAGGAGGAGGAGGAGGTGGAGGAGAGGGAGGAGAAGGGGGGAGGACAGGGAGTTCGAGGGAGGAAAGAGGGACGGAGGAGGGAGGAGGGAGGAGGGAGAAGAGGAGGGGGTGGAAGAAGGAAGAGGGAGGAAGAGGAGGGAAGGGGGAGGAGGAAGGAGGAGGAGAAGGAGGAGGAGGAGGAGGAGGAGGACGAGGACGAGGACGAGGACGAGGAGGAGGAGGAGGAGGAGGAGAAAAGGGCGCCAGTCCAGCACAAAACGGGAGGAAGTCTCGGGCGGGAGCGTTGGTTTTGTCGGGACGGGGGCTGTCGGCGGCGAGCAAGAGCACCGCCTTGAGTAAACAAGGGGGGAAATCTCGAGCGGGAGCGTTGTTGTTGCTGGGGGGCGGCGCCGATGAAAGAAAGAGTAGCGCGCCTGTCCAAGGTAAAACTGGAGGAAGTCTCGAGCGGGAGCGCTGGTTTTGCTGAGACGGCTGCTTTCGGCGGCGAGCAAGAGCACCGGCCCTGAGTAAAAAAGGAGGTAGTCTCGAACGGGAGCTTTTTTGTTGTTGGGGGGCCGGTTTTGGCGGTCCCCCACATCGCTTCAGAGTGAGCCTCATGTTCAATGAAAATGCAGCCGGCGCCTCGGCGAGAGCGCCAGGGCGCCTGTAAGGGGTCAAACAAAAATAATTGTTTAGCATTTGACATTCAACAACAACAAACAATACAGCACCAACGCCAACACCAACACCAACACCAACACCAACACCACCAACAACGCCACCGACACCAATCAACAGTTACATCCCAAGTCCTCGGTACCCGCCCTCTTCGTCTTCGATCGTACCCCCCTGGGGGTATATCTTCCCGACCTGCCGCGTGTAATTGTTGTTTCCCCCCGCCCGCTCCCGATGCTTGTGCGCCATCACTTTGAAGGGAAACACTGCTACAGGCCACGCGACCGGGACAGCAGTGGGGAAAAGGGGCAAGCAGCACGCTGCTCCCCGAACACCTATATAAAAGCGGAGCTGCGTGTCCTCTGAGATAGGGGAAGAGAGGACGGGTGGAAAGGGGGAGGGAGAAGGATGGAGCACGGGATGAGCAGGAGGGGGGCCAGGAGCAGAGAAAACGTGGCATAACCAGACGGGACCTACAGGCGGGTAGACCCTAACGAGCGGGTCGGGAAGACGGGCCCAAGCGGCCAGGTCAAGAAGGCGGGTTGCTCAAGCGTGCGTCCTGCATGAATCGCGAGGACGTCTCGAGCGATAGCTCGATTCTCAAGTAAATCGTGAGAAAGGCCAGATCGAGAGCGTGATTCCTGAGTGTCGAGGTCGCGGCGTCTGATCAAAGTGCGAGGACGTCCCACGCGAGAGCGCGATTCTTGCAGAAAGTATGATGAAAGCCAACGCGAGGGCGCGACGCATTTAGTGTTCGGGGGCGGGGGGGCCCACACCATTCAGAGGGAGGGGGGGGGGGCGCCATTCCCGACGCCATTCCCGACGCATTTAGTGCTCGGGGGCGGGGGGGCTCACGCCATTCAGGGGGGGAGGAAACGCCATTCCCAACGCCAACTCCGACGCATGTAATGCTCGGGTGCGGGGGGGGCCCACACCATTCCCGACGCCGTTCTGACGCTCTGACCATGGAGGGAGGGGGACGCCATATCTAACGCCATTCCTGACGCATGTCGTGCTCGCAAGAACGACTCCAAGACGTTCCAATAGGTATCCAACCATCTGCGAAGAGAGACCCACGAGGTCCAAATCGTCCAATTCCGATGGGGAAACGTACATGTTTGTTACCTTACGCGACATGTCGGCCTGCACGACGTTGCCGACGGTCCCAGAGGCCCCCGAGACCGCGTCAGACGGCTCAAGAGGCTCCCAAAACGACCCCCAAACGGCCCAAGAGTGCGCCAAGACGGCCCAAGAAGCGGCCAAGCCGGCCCAAGAGGGCTCCAAAACGGCCCCAGGAGCCCCAAGAGGGGGAGCCCGAACCGAAAATCCCAGCCTTTCCCCTCTCGAGGCTCTCAAGAGGCTCCAAGAAGCCCCCCAAAGGTCCCAACAGGCCCCCAAGAAGCCCCCAGGAGGCCCCAGGAGGCCCTCAAGAGGCCCGAAAGTGGCCCCAAGGCCCCAAAACGACCCCCAAGAGACTTCCCCAGGTCCCTTGCTCAATCCCCTGAGCCTCAGTCTTCAAGACTGAGGATTCTTAATGGGCCCCCAAGCCCCAAGCTCTCAAATCTCTCGGGGCTCCCCGCGCGCCCTCTGGGGCTCCCAGAATGTTCCCGCATGACGTCGTCGAGCCCAAGAGGGGCACAAGACGGGCCAACAGGGCCCCAAGAGGCCCTCAAGACGGCCCAAGAAAGCCCTGAATCACCGAACGGTCGGTCCAAGACGCCCAAGATGGCCCCAAGACGGCCCGAGAAGCTTTCGAGACGCCCCAAGAGCTCCACGAGCCTTCCCAAGAGGGCCCCGAGAGGCAAAAATAATGTGGTTCCTCCGACTTGTTCAATATGTGTGTGTGTGATCAACGTCACCACCACCACCACCACCACCACCATTCGTCATCAATATCCCCACCACCATCGCCATGGTCAACGTCATCATCATCATCATCATCATCATCATCATCATCATCATCATCATCATCATCATCATCATCATCATCATCATCATCATCATCATCATCATCATCATCATCATCATCATCATCATCATCATCATCATCATCATCATCATCATCATCATCAGCATCATCATCATCATCATCATCATCATCATCATCATCATCAGCATCATCATCATCATCATCATCATCATCAGCATCATCATCATCATCAACATCAGCATCAGCATCAGCAGCAGCAGCATCATCATCAGCAGCATCATCATCATCATCAGCATCATCATCATCAGCATCATCAGCATTATCGTCATCACCATCACCATCAGCATCAGCAGCAGCATCAGCATCAGCATCAGCATAATCATTATCATCATCACAATCATAATCATCAACAAACCATCAGCATCATCAACATCATCATCTTCATCGTCATCATCAGCAACATCAGCATCATCATCATCATCATCATCAGCAGCAGCATAATCTTCGTCATCATCATCATTATCCGGAGCGCCCCGGATCGGCGGCACTGGCCGGAGGCCAGCACAATATCAGGCGGGAGCCGTTGTTGTTGTTGTAACTCGGGGCCAAGGGGCCAGTTTGGTGACACCCCAGTCTCCCTTGTAAAAAACCGAATGCGAGCCCCGGGAAGACACTTTGATCGAATAAATATAAAGGTTACCCGAGGGGGGGATCCACAAGAAGTACTCTTCAGACATGAGAATTGACTTGACAGCCAGATTTCACGAGTCTCTAAATCAGCATCTGATTGTGGGGGTCTTGCGGCTGCGCGCCCGCGCAGCACTCCGGGGGCTCCCCGGGGCGCGCCCGGCGCCCTGCGCACCTGGCAGCAGACCTCGCACCGCTGGGCGTCCCTGGCTCGTCTGTTGGCAACTCCCGCGCGCATGGCGCACCTGGCTCACAAGAGTGATGCAATTCTCACGAGCCCTGGAGGCTGAGTGCTCACGCCAAGGCGGCGCCACGATGAGACATCTGTTCCGCTGCTGGCCGCGGCTGCCCAAACGCCCTCCCTGCTGTGGCATCAGAAATCGCACGACGACCTCCTCCTCGGAGGCGAGCCCCGATGATGAAAACCATCAGGGCGGCGCGGATGGCGTCGGAGGATCGCATCACATTGCCGACGCATCGGCGATACATCGGCAACGTCGGGATGGAGATAATCGGGCTCCATGTAGCGCCCCATCGCCGACGCATCGGAGATGCATCGGCAACATCGGGATGGAGGCAATCGAGCTCCAGGTAGCGCCATATCGCCAACGCATCGGCGATGCATCGGCAACGTCGGGACGGAAAGAATCGGACTCTGGATAGCGCTCCTCCGACCCAGTTGCTCTAACTGGCTACTCCTCCTCTTCCTCCTCCTTCTCCTCCTCTTCCTCCTCCTTCTCCTTCTCCCGCATCGTGTCTCCTCATATCCACCTGTTCAGGGCCAAGATAATGGCCAGGTACGCCCTCGAAAGGGCCCAAAATGGGTAGCCCTTGCGGGGGGGGGGGGCGGGCTGATGTGTTTGGGAGCGCCTCTGTGTGGTCTCCAGGGGACTATAGCCAACATCCAGACATGAAGTGTGCACGGTAAGGATGCACGACGCGTGGGCGTCCAGGCTGAAGCCTGTTGAGCACCGCGCGGCCGAACAACGTGAGGATGCGAGGGTACCCCCAGGGAAGCGTACCAATCGGTCGGAAAAAGTAGGTAGAAGCACGAAGTGGGAAGGCGTTGAAAGCAGATTGGGTGTCCGCCCGCCCCCCGAGGAGGACGGAAGAGGGGAAGCCACTCGAGCATTGAAGTAGGAAGGCGCTTAAAGTACATTGGGATCTGGGGTTCCATAACTACCCACGTTCCACGACCGACCGAGGAGGAGGAGTAGGAGTAGGAGCAGGAGGAGGAGCAGGAGGAGAAGCAGGAGCAGGAGAGGGGGGGGGGGGGACTCCAAAACTACCCACTTTCCACGCTGTGGGTTTTGACAGCAGGCCGTCGAGCGCCTCGGGCACTTTGACCGTCGAGAACCTCCCCCTCTCAAAGCCAGCAGCCCCCACAGGGCGGGGTCGGATCGGCTCGCCTCTCCGCGCACCAGCTCCCTCAGCGCGGCCACGTCGTCCTGCGGGTGGGGGGGCGGCGAGCTTCCCCTCCCTTTGCCTCACTTGTACCCCCTCCATCCCCTCTTCCTCCCCCTCGCCCTTCTCCTCCTCTATCTCCATATCCAGATCCATATTATCCTCCTCCTCCTCCTGCTCCTCCTCCGTCTCCTCCTCTTCCTCCTGATCCCCCTCCGACTACTCGTAATGTCTCTTCATGCCTCCCTCATTCTCCCTCATCCCTCCTTCCCCCTGTCTCCTCCATGCCCAAACTGTTATCAACCATGTTCCTCCTCCTCATTAGTATGCCCATAATCCTCCCCATCCTCCTCCTCTCTCCTACCCCCTTCCTCCCGCATGCCCCGCCCATCATCCCTCTTTCCTCGCCCATCATCCTTCCTCCAGTCAAAGCGGTGGTCACGGGACCCCCCCGGGTGCGGGGGGTCGAAAATCATGGCGCGAGGCACATGCGCGACCCAGGGAGGGCGAGGGACATGCGCGACCCAGGGGTCCAAGAATTCTTGGGAGATATCACGGCCACGGCCATGATATCTACACCCCCCCTGCTCACGAAGGGCCCTGCCTCACAGTACCTTCGGACGTGGCTAATGATACGCCAATGACCGCCTGATGTGGCACGAATTGTCTGCAATCGCGACGTCGGGAAAAACTGATGAAAAGCGAGCCATTCGAAGATCATTCGTGGGCCATTAATATGTCAAAAATTATTACCCAGTCACTTGTGGGTCGAATGCAATCAGTAGTGGGCCACTAGTGGGCCAAATGTATTAGTCGGCCTTTACCGGGGCAAGTAGTGGGGCCAGTAGTGGGCCGTTGGGGGGGGGCATTAGCGGGCCATTAACCGCGAAGGGTGTTGCATAAAGGCCCGTTTTACAATGGGAACTAGATATTTCATGCGCGGGCCGACCGACGGATTGGGACCGAAAACGACACTGGGAACAGAACGATCACCCCACGGCAACCACTGCTGAGGCCTCCGCCGTCTTCATCGTCGAAGCCGCTGTCGTCATCGCATTCGCGCGCTTATTCCTTCGAATCCCACCCATGACTACTACAGACGGAGAAGAAAGTTGGAAACGAAATCCCTCACTTTTCACATGGAAGCATTTGACCACGCATCATACCAACGGCAACCTCCATCAGTCACATGCAGCGCTGCACGCACGTCGAGCCGACGTGGGCCAAACAAATTACTAAATTGCTGCACCGTTTGGATCGCGCCTGGGCGGCGGCCCCATCCGCTCGGCGGCGGCCCCGTCCGCGCTCGAACCGCCTTGAGACTGTCCGACCCCAAATTTACGAGTGTAAAGAACGAGTGTCGGATGAGTCTCAAAATCTGCGCGACACTGTAAAAATTCACTCACCATACGCGTCCGATGGAGGTCTCAAAGCGGCCTCAAACAGTCTCAAAGGGTCTCAAAGTGCCCGGAACTCTCGGCGCTGAGCACATCCGCGAGTCTCACATTGTCTCAAGGTGCAACCCTCGGCGCCGAACGCAGTGGCGCGCCTCGAAGGGTTCCAAATCGCCCCGAAACCCTCGGCGCCGAGTACATCCGCGAGCCTCACATGGTCTCACAGCGCCACAAAACTCCAGCGCCGAACGCAACCGCTCGTCTTCAAGGCTTCAAAATCGTTCCGAAACCCGCGGCGCCGAGCCATTCCGCAACTCCCACATGGTCTCGCAGTGCCACGAAACCCTCGGCGCCGAACACATTCGCGCGTTTCAAAGGGTCTCACGATGGCCCGAAACTCCTGGCGCCGAGCACGTCCGCGCGGCTCAAGTGCCCTTGCAGAGCCGCGACACCCTCAACACCGAACGCATTCGCGCAATTCACAGGGTCTCACAATGCCCAGACACCCTCGGCGCCGAGCCCATCCGCAATTCTCACATGGTCTCACAATGCCACGAAACCCCCGGCGCCGAACGCATTCGCGCGTTTCAAAGGGTCCTACAATGCCAGGACACACTCGGCGCCGGAGGCTTGTGGTATAAGGCGACGCGCTGCAATGTGACCACGTCCGATGCAACGCAAGGCTATGCAAACAATGGGGCCGAAACGTCCGCACGCATTGGACTAAATGTGGACATCGCACTTTCGCGCAAGGCAGTCAGTACCACTGCAACCTCCATGGCGACGCCTCGAAGAACGTTGCCCCCAGGCGAGCGCGAAATCCATTGCCAAGCAGTTCTCCTCGGACTGTATTACCCTTACTCAGAGGAAGAGCGAAGAGGAGGACGAGGAAGAGGAGAAGGAGAAGGAGGGCGACGAGGGAAAGGACGAAGAGGGGAGGACGAGGGGGAGGGCGAGGAGGGGATCACGAGGAGGAGCGCGAGGAGGGAGATCGAAGAAGCGGGCGAGGAGGGGAGGGACGAGGAGGGGGAGGACGAGTGACGACGAGTCCTACTGCCAGCCGAGAGCTTCGAGGAGGGTGAAGTGCAGCACTGAAGACCCTTCGCGGTTAGCGGGAACTCGTGGGCCAGAAGTGGGACGAAAATAAATAGCGGCGCATTCCATCAGCAATAGTGAAGGAAAACCCTCCCTGACACCCCCAAATTGGCGACCCCCAAATATATCGGCTGTCCCCCGCCGTGGGCGCCCCAGGCCCCCGCCCTACCCGGGTGCGGCGCGCGCGCGGGGCCCGTCGGCTCCTGCATCTCCTCACGAACGGCGAACACGTCCGTATCCGCGCCCTCGCGGTCTGCACTCCCAGGCGCGACCCCGCGGATGCGCAATCGCACGGAGAGGTTCCGCGCGGGGCGTCCGCGAAAAAGCGCCCCGCACCCGCGGGGCCGCGGCCCAGGGGCCCGGCCTGCGAGACCGCAAATACTTTTTTGATCTGCAGGGCGAGAGCGAACCTCTTCCGCTGAAAGCTACGCGGGACGCGCACAGCTTTGATTGACAGAGAAAAGGCGGAAGAAGGCGGGGCCTCACGCGGCCAGGAGAGGGCGAAGCCCAGGGATCAGGCGGTGGAGACCGCAAGTACACGGAGATGCCTTTCGCCCACGACCCCCCCGGGGCGGCGCGCGCGCGGGGTCCGTCGGTTCCTGCCTCTCCACCGGCGCGTACAGGGCCTTCTCTTCCGGTTCGGCTGCCGCGTCGCCGCTGTTGCGGCGCGTGCAAGCGAGGCGGGGCCGCTCGACCACCTGGCGCGCGCCGCCGCGGCGGGGCCCGCGCTAGCCCACGACGCCGGGCGCGTGCACCGAACGCAGCGGCTCAGCTCCACTCGCCCCGCCTCGCCCTCTCCCGCTCCGGAGGGGGACCGTAAAGGGGGACTGGCTCGGGGGGGGGGGGGGAACACTGACCCGAAGCATGCGGAACGGAGCCGACGCATTGGCGATGGGCCCCCGATAGCGAATCCGCACGCTCCTGGGCGGGGTGGACCATCGGGGCCCCTGTCGGCGATGAATGGGCGATTTGGGGTCGGTGCATTCCCCACTGACTACCTACCAGACCACCCCAACCCAACCCGAAGACCCGAATTTCGGGTTGGGGGGGGTAAGGGTTCCACCTGTGTTTTCTCGATGTTTCCCGACCCCCCCTACTAGAAATCGAGGGTAAATCTGAGCCTTCGGGTTGGGTTGGGGTGGTTTGGTGGGCGGTGAGGTGCATTCCCCACTGAGCCCATCCCCCCCTTTCGTTGCCACCGAAATCCCCCGCTCCACGTCTCGCCCCTGCTCGCCCACCTCATCCCAAGTGCCTCTCCATCCCATCCACGCCTCGTGCCGGCCCGCCTGGCCTTGCAACGCCCAGCCCGCCTCGACTCCATGCACTCCTCCGCCCACCGTTGTCCTCCTCCCTCCCGCGAGAATTACGGAAACCACGCGCGCACTTCGCGCGTTCAGGTTCTAGCGCGCGTTCAGGTTCTAGCGCAACTCAGGCAAACGTCTCGACACGATAGGAACGCATCGCCATGTCTGTCTTCCACAACCTCGATGCGTTTCAAGTATGCTTCACATTCCTCCCATTACTCGCCCTCCCCAATCGTTGCTCCGACTTCTCTACTCTACATCCTCCAACTTCTGGCTCTCCACTTCAAACCGCTGTCCCTCCTTTCTCGCTCCCCTCTCCTGATTCCTGCGTCCCCTCCTGTTGTTGCTGTTATTGCGTTTGTTATCTTTCTCGTTATGTTGTTGTTTTCTCGCTCGTGCGTCCACTCACCTGCAGGTGGAAGGAGGAAGGATAGGAACGTGAGAAGAACAAACGCACACAGCACAATGTCGTGGGTCGCCTCTCCCCATTTC